TGTGAAATTAAAAACAGTGACTAATTCAATCCAAACAACTAGGTCAGCTCAAATTCCAGTAACTCTAAAACTGAGATATAACAAGGCAAGAACTTTGCTCTGCTTCAGTGGTCAACATGAAGGGCCTATTCAAGGGAAAGACCAGCAAAGCAGCGACAATGGGAACACGTGGGGCATCTGGGGCACAGGGGGAGGGAGTTGGGACAGAGGACGAAGCAAGATGATCACTACAGTACCACCTAGGAGTTTGACAGAACATGTGAATATCCAAAAAAAAAAAAAAAGACATTTCTCACAAACCACCAAAGAGTCATTCAGCCAACATTTGACAGGCTCACAGAAGCCACAAAGCCTCAGGCGTGTCTCCTGCTCAGAGAAGGGAACAACCTCATCACAGAGCAATCAGGGCACATACACAGACAGCAGGAGAGCAGGGCAAAATGCCCGAGTGCCTCGGAGAGCTACACAGTGGGCGAGAACTTGAACTCAGGCAAAAGGGACTTGACCAGAGATGTGCAAAGGCATCGAGTTAACTATCGAATGAAAGAAACCAAATCTAAAGACCATGTACCAATGCTCTGTCTACCTGCTTTGGGCTGCTTCCCAATTATCCTTAAAAATAACCTTTAATAATCTGGAGAGTAGGATGTTTAGTGAAAAACTACACTGAACCCAAGTTCGACTCATTAAGATGCACTCTTTCAATTTAAAAACACACAGCATTCATTCAACTGCTTAAATGGAATAGCAAAGCACTAGAATCTTGCTGTAGGCCTATGTCCTGGCCTCAATAATCCACATACCCAACCTCAGGAGTGTTCAGCTTTTCTGCCATATTGGTAGAAAAGAACAGAGGATGCCTGGCCAGTGTGGCTCAGTGGTTGAGCATCGACCTATGAACCAGGAGGTCAACAGTTCGACTCCTGGTCAGTGCACATGCCTGGGTTGTGGGCTTGGTCACTAGAGGGGGGAGTGCAGGAGGCAGCCAGCGAATGATTCTTCCTCATCATTGATGTTCTATCTCTCTCTCCCTTTCCCTCCCTCTCTGAAATAAAATTTTTTTAAAAAAAGAACAGAACAAATAAATATCGCACAAGAAGAAACTTACTCCAGAACACCCAGACAAGTAAGGGGGAAGGAAGCCTGGCTGCTGGACGCTGGCAGTCCGGCCAGAGCCTGCAGAAAGCAGGGGAAGGATCCCACACCTGACTTTTAGGCTCATTACTGGCCTCATTCAAATTTCCTGTCACTCAACCCATTTATCTTAAGTGAGATAAATCAGTAATCTCTCTGGCCACATAATTAGATCTTTTTTTAAAAAAAAAAGAACTTTTAAAACCAAGAGGTAATCAGCTGAGTTTTCCAAAACATGGCATTTCATTCATTAGTCAAAATAAAAAAAGAGAAATACTGTACTTCCCTAGGCCAACTACATTAATGCGGCGTAGGCTGGATTTAATGACCTATTGACAATGACAGGGCCAACACAGACTTTTCACAAAATAATGTTTAAAACTATTAATCCAACTTTACATTTCTTCTGTATAAAATCAAGGAAGACAGTAATTTGCTTTTTACTCACAATGTCCCAAAACTGAAAAAAAAATTCAAATTCTAGGTGTTTTTTTTTACATTATATCAAAATTACCAGTTTACATGTAATAACTTAATCAATGAAAAAAAAATTTACCAGTTTACAGGGGTACTTGGCACTAATAAAATGTAAAACTAAGTAACCAACTTTTTCAATGTTTCTAAAAGCAAAATGACTTTTTAAAAAGACAAAAAGCTACCAATAGAGTCAAAGGTTTCTGCCAAGGTAAAATATATTTTAATAGCCCTGACTGGTTTGGCTCAGTGGATGGAGCATCGGCCTGCAGACTGAAGGGTCCCAGGTTCGACTCCGGTCAAGGGCATGTACCTTAGTTGCAGGCACATCCCCAGTGGGGGGTGTGCAGGAGGCAGCTGATCGATGTTCTCTCTCATTGATGTTTCTAGCTCTCTATCCGAATTTAATTTTATCAATAAATAATATCATTATTAAGTATGATATCAAGTTTTATTCAATGTACCTATAGTTTAACCAAGACTTAAAACTTTAAGTAAAGTTTATTAAGTTAATTTTAGGGAACGTTGTGCAGTGAAAGATGTAGTGTCGAGGATTGAGAAAGATATGTTGAGATGGTTTGGACATATAGAGAGGATGAACAAAAGGAGATAGATGAAATAAGTATACAAGACCAGTGTGGATGGGAGAGTTGGAAGGGGTCGACCTCAGCGAACGTACCTCAATCAGAGTGAGGACATTTTTAGTAAAGGCCAGCTTAGGAGTTCCCTAATTAAGTTAATAACAATGTACCTACCTATATAGTTTAAGTTTAAAAAATTTGGCTCTCAAAAGAAATTTCAATCGTTGTACTGTTGATATTTGGCTCTGTTGACTAATAAGTTTGCCGACCACTGTCCTAACCAATTGAACACCCAACATTATAATTCTGTTCCTACATCACCTTCTAATTTTTTATTACTTTAGCTCTTCCCAAATCTTTTTTTTTTCTTAATCCTTACCTGAGGATATTTTTTCCACTGATTTCTAGAGAGAATGGAAGGGAGAGGGAGAGACAGAGAGAGATAAACATGGATGTGAGAGAGACACATCCCTCATGTGCCCCGACCAGGGAATCAATCCTGCAATCGAGGTATCTGCCCTTGACCAGAATCGAACCCACAACCCTTCAGACTGCGGGCTGTCGCTCTAACCACTCAGCAACCGGCTAAGGCATTCCCAAATCTTTTGGAAATGTGGCAAATACTAGCAGATGATGGCTATCACAGAAAAATATGAAAGAGGAAAATGTATTTTTTCCTTGTTGTCTTAATGTAATGAATGTACTATAATCACCTTTTTCTAAATGTGATTTAGTACATTTCTAAATGTAATGTACTAAAATCAGCTTTTGTGCCCTCTGCTTTTAGAATAGAACTCGAAACAAAACAAAAAGATAATGTATTTCTCTGCCCATAAATAAAATAGAAATAGACAGTCTATATTATCAAAACACCTGGTAATTTATTCCTATTCAATATATAAGATAATTTACAATTTTCAACCATTTCTTTGTTGAGAAAAAAATCATCTCTTCCTTAGAGCCTGGATGGCAAACCAGGTGTGCCTCCTTTAACTGGCAAATAGGCCAAATGATAACGAGAATGGACCTGGTTGTGGAATTTTTGACTATTACCAAAAATAAACAGCTGAGGTTAGAAGACAAAAATTCCAGCCTCATTGTTTACTCCTCAAAGTTCTTAGAATTCCTCTGCACAGATCTTTACTTGTTCAATAACCTATGCCTTTCCCTTTGTTGCTAATAACCTCAGTTGTATGAATGTTCCATCTGGATTAAGAATTGGCTTTAGTTAGCTCCTTCAATCAGCTACTCTGTGAATATGTAACTCTCAACCACTTCATTCAATTTAGTTAGACAATAGAGAAGTATCTGCTTTCGGGAAGAAAACACAATGGCAAACATAAAACGAACTGAAGCATCTACCAAGTCTCGGACTGTGAGAAGACACCAGATAATCATACAGAATGGACAGCTCAGTTGACAGGTAACTGAATACGATGGCTTTTTTTCAAGTTGAAGAATTAAACTCAGCCTAGATCTAGGGCGAGGGGAAGATGTTACCTTCGGAAATATTGGTGTCTGGTTCCTTCCCGACACTATGACGAGCTGCATCAGCCAGGACAAAGATCACAGTGGTACAGTCTTCTAGTTCATCACCTCTCAATGTGCTCTGGGGGTGGGGGGCCGAGGGGAGAAACTGGCAATGATACTATCATTAGGTTTGTCCTCAGGACACTTGGAATGTTGTTAGCCAAGCCTGTGCTCCACAAATATCTGAGATGTTTAAAGAATTGCTCCAAAGAACGCCTTCACATGTGGGAAATGGACAGAGTCCAAACTGAACGCTCAGGATGCCAATTAAGCAGAATCAGAAGTCCCAGACAACTTGTCCTGGGTTCTCCCATTCATTACAATGGTTCAGGTAGATAGGTAGGTAGGTAGGTAGGTGGAAGGAAGGAAGGAAGGAAGGAAGGAAGGAAGGAAGGAAGGAAGGAAGGGAGGGAGGAAGGAAGGAAGGAAACATTTCCCAGAAGAGAAAAAAATTATTGGCAATATTTTGTCTCTTCTATCTCTTACAAAGTACTTCCAAGAAGCTCCACTCTATAACACAAAAAAACAAGCAAACAAAAAAACACCTTAAAACATCTGTAAAGCACCAAATTGCCAGGAAGTACCCGAGGAAAGTCCCGAGAGAGCTCAGTAGGCTTCGGTTCCTGCCCACGAGTGTGGTGAGAGAAACTGTGATCCCAGGAGTTAGTCATGCATTACAGACTGAAAGTTTTGTTTTCACTAATTCATCATGAATATCAGTATCACTGTCTTCACTAATCCAAACCCGATTACAAAACATTCTTCTCTGGAATTTCTTAAGAAAAGTGAGCTATACTTTTTACTTTATGACGACACTCTCTGAATTTAAACCAAAAAAAAAAAAAAAAAAAAAAAAAATGGCAATGACATGTCAAACTCGGAGCATCTCAAACCCTCCGGGTGTGTCTAATAAGCATTAAAGCCCAGGTTCAGCAAGAGACTAACCTCAAACACCATCTTCCGTTCAGCTACCTGACATTTCCTCCCATGAAAGGCGGGCTCAATTGGGAAGAGGGGAATAAAGGAGACCCACATGTTTTGACTCAAACCCACTTGGGAAGTCTGAATCTTTCTTGTACAAGAGTATGAGACTGGGGACAGTATGCCATATTGCTCATGTACTTACTGCCTTTTGCTTGTCCCCAAACCGCCTTGTATTTACCTTGAGCTTTCCTGGGAAGCCTGTGAGGTTAAACATCTTACAAAGGAAAAACAAAAATCTTCTAAAGAAATGCATTCCAAAACACAGCACAGAAGACGCACATCCCTCTCTCCACTTACCCGGGAAAGCGTGTGGATTGGGCGACCCTCTCTTAAGGCACTTAGAACAGAGAATGTGCACGGTGTAGTGCAGTCCAGGCCATTCCTGAAGTAGGACATTCAGTTCTTCCACCAAGGGGGTTATGGCTTGCCATGCCGTCCATATGTTTGGTAATGATGCATGGCTGGCGATGGACAGAGTATCTGGCTGCAGGACCCCCTTGGCGGGTCTGTAGCTCACCACCACAGGAACTTTCCCTCGATATGCAAAGATCTGAAGTTTCCCGTCCGACCTTTGCACCACGTGGCTGTTGATCTGGACGCTGTAGCGTGCAAACAACCCAGGTGGGAAGGTAAAGGGAAAACTATATTCAATCTGCAACTGCTCAGCCACAAAAGACTGCCCGGCCAGGTTGGTCCCGTTAATCCAGGCCTCTGCATGGGGCACCTCGTTCTGCACGTAGCAGGGGAACTTGTACCAGGCCGTGGACCCATTCAGAGGCTTGCCCTTGGGTTTATTGAGGCAGTAGCAGAGTCCCATCTTCTCCAGCAGCTCCAGCAGCAGTTGCAAATCCTGCTGGGCCTGGACGTGAGGCTTAAGCAGCAACCGAATGACATGGGCCGGCAAGAGCCCGTGAAGCAGAAAGCCCTCCACGTAATGATGGAGCTGGGTGGCCGGGAGCAGGTCCTGGCTGGGCGGTGGCAGTGCCATTACGAGGGAGCTTTCCCCGTCTCCCTCGCCCTCTCCGTTGGTCCCTAGGAGCAGCTTATGCAGCAACAAGGAAGGATCCCTCTGGAAAAAGACATTGAGGATGTCAATGAGGCGGGTGAGGTTGTGGAAGACGTGTTCCTTGAGGGCTGGGCTGTCCTCAAAGTAGAGCAGCTTGCCGCTCTCGTGCAGGTAGGACAGGGCGCTCTGCAGCCGGTCCTCGGTCAGACCTGCCTGCAGGCCCAGGCGTGCCGAGTCCCACCAGCTCAGCCAAAGCCGCTGTGCCTGAGGGGGCTGGAAATGCAGTTCCTCCAGTACCTGCCAGGACCGGGGCAGGACTCTGTGTAAGTTGGGGAAGATTTCCCGGTGCTCAGCTACCGAAAGCAGTTTGTCCCGAAGGCGCTGTAACTGGCGGGGGTCCCTGCAGCTCACAGGCAGCACCGGGGAGAGGATCTGCAGCCGGTGGTTGAGCAGGTACTGGAAGTGGGCCTTGCGCCGCCGAAGGTTCTTGTCTGAAACACCATAGTACGCGGCATGGGGGCTGGCTGAGCGCAGCTCGAAGTCGCGGGCCAGCGCCTCGTCCACCACCTGGGCCAGGCGGCTCAGCCCCTCAGCATCGCGCTTCTCCTGCAGGGCGATCTGGCGGTGGATGTCCAGACACTTTTCCTCCAGCTCCCGCTCCCCACACAGGTCTGCGTGCGTGCCCACAATGCACACCACCGCGTGAGGCACTCGGGCCCCCACCCGATGCAAGAAGGAGCCCACGGTGGTAGGAAATCGCCGTGGCTCGTAGGTGGCCAAGTTCACCACCAGCACATAAAGGGCCCCTGGGGAGAGGAAGAAGGGCTGGATCACCTCGTAACTTTCATCTCCGGCTAAGTCGTACACAATGAACCGCAGGCCCCGGGAAGCATCGGCTGTCCAACTGGTCACCTCGATGCCCTTGCTCGCGGGCGGCGGTGGAGGTGAGTAGCCCTTCTCCTTGTCCCCTCCTTCACTTGCCTCCACTCTGTCCTCAGTGAGGCAGTGCCGGAGCAAGGTCTTCCCTGCAGCCTTATGGCCCATCAGGAGCAGCTTGAGGCGGGGCTGAACTGCCGGCTGGGAGTGGGCCAGCTCCTTCTGGTAGGCTGCGATGTAGGGGATCCCCTTCATACAGACCTCGTAGGGCGGCTGGATCAGTGGGTTGTCCTTGATCTTCCACAGGCCCACCCGGGAGAGCTGGCCAAAGTTGTCCGGCAGCACAGCGATCTGGTTGCCCTGCAGCACTAGCTCCTCCAAGCCCGTCAGCTCCACAATGGAGTCCGGCAGGTAGCGGATCCGGTTGTTGTCCAGCCACAGGGTGAGGAGCCGGCCCAGGCCTGAGATCAGGGATGGCACTGAGGTGAGCTGGTTGCGACTAAGGTAGAGCTCCTCCAGGCCAGCCAGGGGCAGCAGCGCGGCAGGGAACTCCTCAAAGAGGTTGGAGGAGAGGTTGAGCATTTTGAGTCTCTGCAGATGGCTGAACTGGGCGGGCAGAGCCTGCAGCCTGTTGTTGTCTAGCATGAGGCTCTCCAGGCTGGCCAGCTCACAGAAGCCCTCAGGCAGGGTGCCAAGCTCGGCCCCACTCAGCCAGAGGATTTTAAGGGCACGCAGGGCACTGATACCCTCAGGTAGGCCTCGGAGCCGGTTACTGGACACGTCCAGCTCCTCCAGGGCAGCCAGCTGCAGCAGCTGCCCAGGAAAAGCGGTGAGCTGATTGTGGTCCACATCGAGGGTGCGCAGGCGGCAGAGGCAGGAGAGGGAGTCCGGCAGGTGCGCCAGCCGGTTAAAGCTGACATCCAGCTCCTCCAGGTGGGCCAGCGAGCCCAGCTGGGCGGGCAGGGCGGGCAGCTGGTTGTGGCTGAGGTTCAGCTTGCGCAGCTCGTGCAGGGCGCTCACCACCTCCGCGCCCAGGGCCGTCAGTCGGTTGTGGCTCATGTCCAGCTCGGTGAGGTGGTGGCCCAACTCGGCCACCGCCGG